GCTGTGCCCTCCCGGCCCTCCTGGCAGGCTCGAGGGGACCTCCCTCCCCCGAGAAGGGCCCTACTGAGCGCCAGGCGGGGAAGCAAAACCGCTCCCATCTATTTCCCCTTGACAGGTTTACGAGCGTCCCGTGGCAAACATAGGTTCGCCTATTTGCAACACAAATTAGGGTTCCTTCTCCAGGAGGAGGGGATGAATCGGGCCATGGAAGGAGGCGAAGGGGCGGGGGAGGGGCAGCAGGGGGRCCGGATTTGCCAGGAAGGTGAGGAACAAGGGCAGGGGGGGGGGCTTCTATCCAAGAGGGCGGGCCACGGCCAGGGGGCGAGATTGGGGCGCTTTGCCTTGCCAGGGTCAGGTCGAAAGCTCAGGAGGGAAAGGAATGGGGAAGAATAGATGCCTCGGAGCCCTTCCCGGGGACTCCTTGGGGAAGCGTAGGCCTTCTCTCGGCCTCGGCCAGTTCTGAGAAGGAGCCTCGCCATGCTGCCCACACAGGGAGAGAGGCCGGGCTGGCGAAGGAGGCCCAGCCATGCCAACTGTTAACGACTTCGCGGGCCCAAGGAGGCCGGGGCCATGAAAGCGGAGAAGGCGAGGCTTCCCAAGCCCCTGTTTCAACCGACTTCCCCCTGAAACCCGAACCGAGTGGGTTTGGAGACCCTTCCTTGCACAATCCCATCCTTTTGGGTGTCCCTTTCCGCTTGATGTTGAGTGGAATGGAGGTCGAGGGCCACCCAGCTTTGGCAAAACAGTACAGAGGTCGCACGCCATATTCACACCATGCACCCTCTCCTTCCACACCAAGCTTGGAATTAGTGAAACCAAGGGAAAACGCTCACACACACACACACACACACACATTGCGCTGTAGCGGGGAGTCATTTCACCAGCCCTTCTCCTATCGAAAGTGTCTTCCTCCTCCTCCTTTCCTCTTTCTTCTTCTCCCTCCTTTTCCTCTTCTTCTTCTACTTCCTCCTCTTCTTCCTCCTCCTCCTCCTCCTCCTCTTCCCCTTCTTCTCCCTCTTCTTCTTCTTCTTCCTCCTCTTCCTCTTCTCCTTCTTCTCCCTCCGCCTCTTCTTCTTCCTCCTCCTCTTCTTCCTCCTTTTCCTCTTCTTCTCCCTTCTCCTCTTCCTCCTCCTCCTCCTCCTCTTCTTCTTCCTCTTTTTCTTCCTCCTCCTCCTCTTTTCCTTCTTCTCCCTCCTCGTCTTCTTCTACTTCCTCCTCTTCTTCTTCCTCCTCCTCCTCCTTCTTCTTCCTCCTCTTCTTCTCCTTCTCCTTCTCTTCCCCTTCTTCTCCTTTCTCTTCCTCTCCTTCTTCCTCCTCCTCCTCTTCTTCTTCCTCCTCTTCTTCCTCCTCCTCTTCTTCTTCCTCTTCCTCTTCCTCCTCCTCCTCCTCTCCTCCTCCTCCTCCTCCTCATCATTTATATCTCGCCTTTCTCCCCACATGAATTCAAGGCTATTAAAAAAAACACCTAGTTTTTATTTTAAAAACTTTGTTTGATCCAAAATGGATCCTGGCGGTAAAGACCAAGGGTTGAAAACTTCCTTTTTCTTGTTCTTTAGCCCGGCGAAGGGTGCTCTGTTAGCAATTCCAAACCGATTTACATAAGCTTATGGACTAGGACAACAATAACACCTCACTATTTAGGCACTACTTAGGAGTTGCCCTATTGTCCCATGCGGTGTGGGCATTGGACTAGGGCTCTGGAGACCAGGGTTCGAATCTCTAATTGGCCCTGGAAACTCACAAATTGACCTTGAGCAAGTCACACTGTCTCAGCCTCACAGGAAGTCAATGATAAGCTACTTGAACAAGTCTTGCCCAGAACGCTCTGGGAACTTTATATGTCGAAAACGATTAGAACAAGAATAACAACAACAACAATATTTTTGTATCTATTACCCTATTAGGACTCGAGGTAGGACACAACATAGTTAAAACACATCCATAAAAGCCCATATTAAAACATACATATATTATTAAAATACATGAAACAAAAGTTAAAACACAATAAACATAGAATGTGATTTTAAAGTTCATAGTTTTAAAAAAAATCATCGGTGTCTTTGTTTTTAAGTCTGCTCCTGGGGTTATTTGGGAAGATGATTCAGAAAATGTCATTGGCTAGACTGCATCAGCTCTAGTTTCTTAGATATGGCTATCATGATTCTCTATGGGCGAGTAGATGGTGTGAATCCCAAATGTTTTGTGTCTCAAAAACTAGAACTGTTGGGGGAAACAGGTATCATTTTTGGAATTAGCAGGTCAAATATACCTAGAAACAGGACTGACATCTGAGGCATCAAATTTGTGTTGGCTAGTGTAATTAACACTTGAAAGAGGGGTGGGGTCGGAAGAAAGGAAGGAAAGTGGGAAGGAAGGAGGGAGGGAGAGAAGGAAAGAAGGAAAGAAAGAAGGAGGGAAGGAAGGGATGGAAGGAATGACGGAGGGAGGATAGGAAGGAAGGAAAGAAAGAAGGAGGGAAGGATCGATCACTGGGTAATTGAGACCTGTCCTGTTGGATGTGAAGGAGATTAGTTCCATTTGAGGCGGCCTTCTTTGCTCCTGCTCTCCTGTAAAATCCCACCAGTCTGGGGGGCGGGAGAGGTGAGGGCTGGACCCACTTTATATTTATGGTTCCACCAGGTGATATTCCAGTTTCTTGTTGAGAGCAGGTGAGAGCAGATGAAGGTTAGGGAAGACAGTAGCTCCCAATGCTTGTTATCAGGGAAGTAAGGAAATACCAAGCGAAGAAGGCAACGTAATTCCAGCTTTACCCAAGTATTTTTTTTCACTTTCCTAAGGGCTATTCCACCCGAATCTCCTCTCCCATATAAATTGGGACAGGAGAACAACTTTTGCAGACGAGGGAAAAATCCAGGCAATAGGTCATTGTGTCGTACCCCCAGGAAGCCTCGACTCAGAGCGTCCAAGGCATCTCCCTTTCATAGTTCCCAACGCGTTCCTCCAGGCTTGAGCTGCATTATATGGGTCTACACTCTCCATATAATGCAGTTCCAGCCTCTGCTTGAGCGTTCAACGCGCTTCTTTCCCCTGTTTCCTTTCTCTCTCTCGCGATAGGCCGTTCCATATTCATAAAGATCGATCGGGAGGGTCCATAGCTGTGTTTCCCCCCCACCTCCCCTTCCCCTCCTATCATAGAAGAGGGTTTGGGACGCACACACGCACACACGCACACACCAAGGCGACAACGCAGCCGACGCGCCTCTTGATTGATCCGGGCCAGAGCCGCGTCTCCTGCGGAGTAGCTAATAGATTTTAATTCAAATGAGAGGTGGGGAGGTGGCGTGGGGATCATGAATAGCTGGGATTGATCTGTCCCCCGCCAGCCCGGCAGAAAATGGAATCAAAGGCGTGATTATTATGGCGAGGGGGGTGCCCCGCCTCGGTCACGTGGCGCCCCTCCTCCTCCTACCACCCCCTCCCCCCATTTAAAGATTTATTTTGGGACCATCCCATGGTCGCCACAGGAGGGGAACACGCGGGGATGAATCAGCTTTTATATCCCCAAAGCCCGCTGGGAGGTCTTTCACACACACACACACACACACACACACACAGCCAAGTGGAGTTGTTCTCGCCCATTGCTCCGCTTCCTTCTGCTCTGGCTGGATGGCACTCAGGTGTCGAGCTTTCCCATTCCCATCCCAGTCACACACACACATACACATTCTCCCTTTGAAAGGGGGCAAGGAGCTGATGTATATTCTTGTGTATTATCGAAGGCTGTCATGGCCGGAATCACTGGGTTGTTGTGTGTTTTCCAGGCTGTATGGTCATGTTCCAAAAGCACTCTCTCCTGACGTTTCGCCTTCATCTCTGGCAGGCATCCTCAGAGGTTGTGAGGTCTTTTGGAAACTAGGAAAATGGGCCATTAAATGCTATTCAAGGTTGCCCATTGCAATATGCACACTTGCCTCGAGCAGACAAGAATTCTTTCTCCCACCCTGAGATATATAAACCCCACGTGCCTAGTTTCCAACAAATCTCACAACCTCTGAGGATGCCTGCCATAGATACAGGCGAAACTTCAGGAAAGAATGCTTCTGGAACATGGCCATACAGCCGGGAGAACTCACAGCAACCCTATATTAATGTGATCTAACCTTATGCCTGTAGCTGCATTGGCACTTCCATATCACACAGTTTGAATCCGCATGGATACCGTCAGCCTAAATTCATAATGCAGTTTAATCGCACTGCACTGCATTCGATGGCAGTGTAGACCCAGCCTGTGTCTTTCAATATTTATATTTTATCTCTGTGCCATAAACTCTCGGTTAACCGGAACTCGAGCAACCGAAACTCTCAAGAAACCAGCAAATATCGGAAGAAGGAATATTTAAATGTTTTTATGCTGCAGTAAAACTGTGTTACATTGTGTTTATATTTATTTGTTTTCCATGACTGTATTTCAGTACTAACAGCAATCCAATACAGAGTTTATATGATACAGTGTGGGGTATATTATTTTGCATTTTAAATAGTACATCTCAAGCAATCAGAAATTACAGTTATCCTGCATCTACCAATCCCCTCTGGGTGCCGGTTAACTGAGAGTCTAGTATGTTTTAACTGTGTTGTATCCCTCCTCGAGCCTTGAAGAGAGGCGGGTGACAAATAAAACATATGGGATGCCTATCATAGATGCAGGCGAAACGTCAGGAGAGAATGCTTCTGGAAGAAGGCCATACAGGACGGGAAACCCACAGCAACCCAGATTTTATTTTCTTAATGTAACTGTTGAGAGGAACAAAATGAGTGAAGAAGAGGAGTAGAGAAAAGATTTCCTTGCTAAGGTGTCTCCACTTCTATTTTTTGAATTGTTGGGTTGCTGTGAGTTTTCCGGGCTGTCCTGAAAGCTCACAGCAACCCAGTGATGAAAGCCTTCGACAACACAAACTTGTTGTTGTTATGCGACTGGGTTAGGAGCACGAAGGGACATAATATACTTCTTGTTTTCTCCCCCTTTCCTTCTTTTTCAGGAGACATCCAGCTTCCCGAAGACGCTTGGCATGACGGTGTGTAAGAGAGAAACTACAACTTCACACCAAGGAGAGACTGAGGCTGTCGAGGAGAAAAGTAGTCCGCCGGGTCGTGCCGAAGCTTCGGTACTTTCACTCCCTTTCTATGGCGAAGAACAAAAACAAACGCGTTTTTAACTACACCGTTCCAGACCGGCGGCTTAATCCAGCCTCTAGCCTTGCCTGTTGGCTGCTTTGAGCTTGGCTGCATCGCCTGGTGGCGTCTTGCCCTTTCCAGGCTCCACCAGCCGCTGAAGGAGACAAACTCTCCTTTCCTCTCTGGGCTATTCCAAATGATTTTCCCCAAACGTGAGAGCATGTATCGATTCATGAATCGCGGAGAGGTCGCGTTGAATTGATCCTTCGGAACTCCTTTACGAAACAAAACACGCTGAGCTGCGTGGAATGGCCTTCCCAAGCCTTTCTCTCTCAAACCAGCTCATTATGATAATTACCTTCGGGATATTAGTGGAGCAATATTTAGAAGAGGGAGGAAGTGGCCGTATTTTCTCTTTTATTTTGAAACTTATCTTGTATTTTCCAAAACTCCATGAGGCAAGCATTTTCAAAATCTGTAATTACAGAGTAGATCCATTTCATTCCAATGTCTTTTTTTCCTTCTCCTTTTTGAATTTTTAAGCAGTGTTTTAGGACTCTGTTGCTAAACCTGCTCTGGACTCCAGCCTTGAGGCAGAGGACATGGAGCCAAGGAAAGGGCGTCCCCAAACATGTGCAGATGGCTTTCTCCCCACCACCAACCGAGTTTCCAAGGCAGAGCTGCCTGATCTTATCGGAGGTCTGACATCTCTCAGCCCGGTTTTCTATCTGTCCCCAAAACCGAGATGATTCCGTAGTTGGAGCCACTCTTCCCTTTGCAGCCTTCAATAAAGAAACCCAGGACAGTTTAATAAAAGACTAAAACCCTAGAAACTCAGTTGTCTGTATGTTTAAGGAAGGGAAAATACACAAAAAGAGGGATTGATCCTCCAGAAACTTGTGATTCTTTCTCCCCCTTTCCTTGTCACTCTTTTAGGGGAAGAAAATAGAGGAAATCCAGCCTCAAAACTGGTCAGAGAAAAGCAGTGAGACTGCTAGTAGCACTAGTAGCAAGAACCCAAGCACCATCCAAACTCTTAGAAATGCCCAAAGACCCAACTTGTCCTCTGACTCAACCTCAGTCCAAGCAAAATATGTATTGTAAGGCTTTCATGGCCGGAATCACTGGGTTGCTGTGAGTTTTTCGGGCTATATGGCCATATTCCAGAAGCATTCTCTCCTGATGTTTCACCCACATCTATGGCAAGCATCCTCGGAGGTTATGAGGTCTGAATATAAATATGATTTGTTTCCGATGCCAACTCCCAGAAGACCCCAGGCAGCCTGATTGCCACTGACAGCCAGGAGCTTTCTTTATCCCACAAAGTCTTCACTTTCATAAGGGGGAAACTGTGTTTTGTTTTAGTTCCATCGGAGAGACAGCTTTGCTGGCTGCGGGCTTCCTGAACCTATTCTCTCCCTACTTTCCAAAGTGGGTTTCCCATCAAGCAGCATTATATTGTAAGAATATTCTTTGTTTCCGATTCCAGGTCCCAGAAGACCCCAGGCAGCCTACCACTGACAGCCAAGAGCCCATGTTGCCTTCTTTACTGCATCCCACAAAGTCTTTACTGGGTTGTTGTGAGTTTTCCGGGCTGTATGGCAAGCACCCCCAAGAGGTTGTGAGATCTGTTTCCTAGCTTCCAATAGACCTCACAACCTCTGGGGATGCCTGCCATAGGTGCAGGCGAAACGTCAGGAGAGAATGCTTCTGGAACATGGCCCATACAGCCCAGAAAACTCACAAGAACCCAGTGATTCCGGCCATGAAATCCTTCGACAATACAAAGTCTTTCCTATCTTAAAAGGGAAACTCTTTACTTTTTGTTTTAGTTCCTTCGGAGATACAGTTTTGCTGGCTGCGGGCTTCCTGGACCTTTTCTCCCAAATTTAGTAACTTTCCCAAAGTGGGCTCCCCACCAAGCAGCTTGGGTGGCTGCTCCAGACGGGGGCGTTTTCTCTCTCTCCTTGCCATCAAGATTCACTGCGAAGGGAATGAAAACGGGCATGGATGCGCTCAGGGGAATAGTCCTGCAAGTTGTTCCTCTCTCTCCCTCTCTCTCTCTCTCCGTTCTTTCTCTAACTGGCATTTCATTCCCAGGCGCGTTTCCTTTCCCCCAATTCTCAGCGAGGATTTATGGGCCCGGAGAGGCGGCTGGTGGAAATGGTTTACAGTGGAGGTTTGGCGTCTCCCTGGGATTGGACCCCGTTGGAGGAGAGCCATTTCCAGATGGCAAGGCCTTTTCCCGCGCAGGCGCACTCCGCCCCGCCGCCTCTTCCAGGGACCACTCCGTCGAGGAGACACTCGGGCGGCGGCAGCGGTTGTTGTTATTATTATCACAGCAAACATATACATACAGACGTTGACTTTTTATATATAGATAGATATTTTTTTTAAAAAAAGTTTTAAAGCCTGTGCACACCTCCTTGTGGGTAAACCCCGTTGAAACTCCGTACTCCAAGGGACTTGAATGGAGAAGGAAAAGATTGTCCAGTTGTACTTTAATTTTTTCGATTATTAGTTGACGGGGTTCTTGAATGATTGCCTCTCTCCTTGGCCTCGTGACCCGAGTGTAGCAGGAAAAGTCATAGCAGTTTGAAACCGATATAGTTTACGGGACTGGATTGACTTACAGCAGTGGTTCCCCACCATTGGTCCTTCAGTTGTTTTGGGGCCCTTCCACATAGCCATATAACCCAGAATATCAAGGCAGAAATCCCACAAGATCTGCTTTGAACTGGGTTATCTGAGTCCACACTGCCATATATCCCAGTTCAAAGCAGAAAACGTGGGAATTTATTCAGCTGTGTGCAAGGGGCCTTGGACTTCAACTCCCAGTGATCTCAGTCTCCTTAGGAATTCTGGCATGTGACGTGATGGCAACAGTCTTGGCTCCCGAAGTGACCCCCGTTTAGGGTGGAATCAGGTGTCAAACAGGGATGTGTTTTTGCCCCAACTTTATTCTCCATCTTCATTGCTATGATACTTCATCTTGTTAGTGGGAAGCTTCCTACCTGAATGGAAATCATCTATCGGACAGATGACAAGCTATTTAACCTCAGCAGACTGAAAGCCAAAATCTAGGTCACAACAACATCTGTTTTAGAACTACAGTATGCTGATGGTAACTCTCCCATGGCAGTTCTATACTCTCAGGAAGCCCTGGCACTTGAGTGCTCTAACTGGAGGTCAGCCGTGACCAGCAGTGTTGCAGAATTCGAAGAGGCAAAGGCAAAAGGGGGAAACGTGCCAACCGCCTTCCACCTGGAACCACCTGGAAACTGATGTACTCACTGCAGAAGAACATGCAGATCAAGAATAGGTGTCCACGGCCACCTACGGACCCACCACCAAGACACTGTACTTAGAGGGCCATCATCCTTGGGATCCTCTAAATAAGTAAAGTAAGTGAGAGTTGTGGGAGCTGAAACCCAAAGCACCTGGAGGACGAAAGGTTGGGAACCACTGACACAGAGGAAAGAAATACCAAACTTCCTCTGAGTCAATCTCTTGCAAAAAAAAAAAAAAAAGGATTGCAAGAGATTGACAACAGAGTCTCAAGGTGCAGAACAACCAAACAGCCCGAAGAGAGCAAACTCTCTTTCCCTTCCAGAGTTCTCCAAGACTTGAGTCTGGAGAGCGCCTGTTCTGTGGAATTCCTCCTCTGCCCAAGAGTGCTGGTGTCTGATGTGTCAGGCTCCCACGTGGCCTCAGGTTGGGATCTACTGTACAATTAAGAAATTGTTGGGGAATCTGAGCTGTTAAGTTCAAAAATAACCCTCAGTTAGGGTGATTCCACCAAAAATATAGCAGAGTTCAGAAGTAAACTTCGTATGTGATGAGATGGGATAAGCTTCTATATCTTAGGACTGCACAGGATTGCAGAGTCAAACCTTTAGGTTCAAAAATATTTATTGAAGTAAAAGAAATACATTCTTGATAGAAAATGTCATGGATCTAACTAGATTACTAAATCCCATCTTCTAAAGAAGTAGAAGGGTATAAAAGTCAATGCAGCTACATTTTGCCTTTGCTGTTTTATTTGTTCAGTCCCTTCCGACTCTTCGATTCTGTGGCCACCCCCATTTCCTTTAAAGTCAAGCCACTCACTTCAAGGATACCATCCATCCATCTTGTCCTTGGTCGGCCCCTCTTCCTTTTTCCTTCCATTTTCCCCAGCAAAATTCTCATAATCCAAGCTTTCCTGTCTTCTCATTATGTAGCCAAAGTACTTCAATATCCTTCCCTCCAGAGAGAGGCAAAAATGTGCATCCTCATAGGCAGAAAGAAAAGAAGAAGAGACTGGAAAAATGGAGAATGGCCATATGGCCAGCCCAGGGCAATAAAAATACCTTTTAAAAAGGAAGTTCCCTCATAGAATTCCATTCCTACATCATCAAAGGGGAGGAGACAGTGGCAAGGAGGAAGAGAAAGACAAAGCCCTTTTGGGAAACATGCATAGGAATTGGGGGGGGTTTTGGGGGGGGGAATCCCTCAGCCTAATCCTATCTCTAGTCTAGCTACTCATTGAGGTCTGGAAACTTGATGACACAAGAGACTCGTGCAGTCCAAGGATGAAACCCAACACCTTCCACATGGCCATATTACCAAGAATATCAAAGCAGAATAACCCACAATATCTGCTTTGAACTGGAAGATTTTGATCCAAAAGTTGGTTGGTATGGGCATACATGATGTGAAAAGATGAAAGTGAAATGCTGATTTCTACAAACAAATTATGATTTCCAGGTTATTAATATGGCGACACAATGCTTGCCCTTGAAAGGGACTGAAGTACAGGGCGCACCAAAGGTAGATTTGCTGCTGCCTAAATTGACAGGAAGGGGAAATATGTCTTCCTGGCAAGGGAGTCTTGGCGACTGACCTCAGGAGGCCCAAATCTCTTCCTCACTCAGACAAGTGGAGAGCAGCACTGGAGGGCTCCAGCAGCAGAGCGAACGAGGGGCAAGAGCCATCGCTAATTCGACACCAAGAGGATCCAGAAGATAGTTTGTGACCAAAGGGTGCCCTGTTTTGCTCCCTACTTTGATAGAACTGGAATTGCCCCCTTCTTCTCTCCATATCTGCCTTTTTTTAGACCAGCGGCTCCCTACCTGAGCTGTGCCTCCATTTCCTCTGAAAAAACGCATCCCTTCCCTGTCTTGCAGGCTAAGACGTGGCTTTGTGAGGCACCAGCTCTCTGTGGCAGAGAAGGCGCAAGACCCTGTCAAACTACAATCCCCTTGATTCCATAGCATTGGGCCCTGGCAGTTAACGTGCTGCCAAATGGGTTGGCAGAGAAGGAAGCAACTGCACGGCGGGGCTGGGTAATGGTGTAAAAGGTAAAAGTTCCCCCTGACATTAAGTCTAGTTGTGTCCGACTTTGGGGAGGGGCGCTCATCTCCAATTCTAAGCCGAGAGTGTTTTAATTGTTCTTGCATGGCAGGTTGGACTGGATGGCCTCTGGGGTCCCTTCCAATTCTGTTACCCTGTAATCATTACAAAATGCTCGAGCCTGGGCCGGGGAAGAGGAATTCATGGAGGTGAAAACAGACCCACTGCAGGCTGTAAAGCACTCCAGGACCCGCAGGAGCCCATCCATTGGCTCCAAAATGCCCCTTGGGGAGTATTTGTTTCAAAACAAAAAAGCATTGCAAAGCTGCTGAAGAATCTGAGCTATTAGGCTCAAAATAACCCCCAGTTGGGGTGATTCCACCAAAAATATAGTAGAGTACCAGAAGTAAACTTCATAACTAGTAGAAACTTACATGTGATGAGCTGGGATAAGCTTCTATATCGTAGGACTGCACAGGATTGCAGAGTCAGAACTTTA